AGGCGGCTCTGCGCAGCGCGGCCGTGCTGTTCCAGACCTGCCAGGTGTGGGCTGGCACCTGCGGAAGGGTAGCTGGGAGGGGAAGGATTTTGCACAAATCCCTGTGATTACTCCAGACAAAGGGCACGCCCAGGTAGGGGATCACCGGGCAACATCGTCGTTCGTCCTCTCCAACGTCCCTGACAGTTTCTACATTAGATGCCCAGAGGTTCTGTTTGGGTAGCGCAGGGAGGGGGGGCAGCAGTACAGAGGGGTACTGTGTCTGTTTGAAAATATGAAAACCAGTAGTCACATTCGCTCAGATTTCCAGACACAACTAAAAGTCAGAACCTGGCCAGTTATGGCGACCTGGTGAGCAGTCTGTACAACCTGAGAAGTTGAGGCCTCCAGCTGTTAGACTGTGTGAAATCTGGGGGTGTTGGGTTTTACAGGCGATAGAAGGAAACGCCCAACCCAGGGCGGTACCACCATCTGTCCGAAGCTTCTGTATCTTGTTTATTTTTCAGTCAGTTTTCTATTTCATTTTCTCCTAATTATGGGTTACATTGTCCTGCTTTCTACCGTGCCCAGAAATTTTGATTAGACGCTGCACATTGTGAATTGACGTTGTTAAATAGTGGTATTTTATTTTATTTTATTTTGGGTTTTTTTCCAGTACTGGGAATCGAACTCACGACCTTGCGCTTGCCAGGCAGGCGCTGTGCCGCTGAACTAAATCCCTAGCCCCTAATGGTGGTATTTTAAAGGAAGGGAATAATAAAATAATTGGATAGGAAAATAGCAGTGTGCTTTTTTATTTTTAAGTTTCTAGAGTGCTATTTAGGAACACATTGCTTGTGGGCCCAGAAGACTAGAAGGTAGATTTTAGGAGGTAAAAACACAAGAAAAACAACAAAAAGAAAAGATAGCCCAATGTTTCTTTCCATTTCATGAAAGGGTGAAATTACAGAGTTTGTGAGGGATGTATCTGGGTGTCATTGAGACTGTAAGAAATAACTTCTTAGCCCGAAAGGTTATTTCTGGAAGACTTAGGCTAGAGCTTCTTTCACTGATGGGATATTTATCCCGCATAACTGTAGCTGCTTTAAGATGATCTTGAAACAAAAATATAAGGATTTTTTTTTTTTTGCCATAGGCTTAGGAGAGTTCTAGCAGGCTTGTTATGATGAGAAACTTTCACTTATGATAAAAAATGGCCTTGGGGTATTCCAAAGACTAGTTAATTATTAATTCTTAATATTAAAAGTAATAAAAATATACTATGACATAATACGAACTAACAATTGTTTATGATTTCAAAGTCTGCCACTTTCACACATGTGATTTCATACAGCCTTCACAAAGATTCTGAGGCACACCCATGACCCTAACACATGCATGCTCAATAGAATTCCTTTGAGAAAAGTGGAGATGATGTAATGGTTATCATTAACACATAACTGAATATAATGCATTTTACCTACATAATATAATTTGATGAGTTTGAATGTATGCACTCGACAGTGAAACCTTCATCATGATCAAGATAATGAACTATCATTGTGTTAGTTTCCTTGTACCTCTCCACACCATGTCACCCTACTCCACACCATGTCACCTGTATCAAAAGGTTTGTCCACTCTGGCTGTTGGTAACGTGAATCATTCTCTGGCCTGTGCAAGCTCAGAAATTGTTTTGCTTGCTGCCCCTTGCTTGTGGGTTTTTTATATGCATGTCCTCAGTCATACTCAGGAAAAGACTCAGGGAAGTCCAGAACTCTGCACAGCTCTCCCCCTCTGTAGTACTCTCTCCTATGTATCTAACTACCTTGGCCTGCCTGAACCCTTGGTTCTGTTTTATGCGCTCAGAGAGACTGCCAGGCTTTCTTTGGGCTCCCCTATCTGCAGCTTGGAAACCTTCTCCAGGCAGGAAGCTGGACAGTCATGGGTTAAGTAACATTGTATAGCTGCATCTCTATTAAAGTATTGAGTTTGCTTCCGTGAGAAAATGACGTTTACATCTTTACCAGTATGGTGTCTGTACTCTTCCTTTGATTCATTCACAGTCAAATCATTAGTTTTAAAAATATTTTGCTCTGGGTTATACTGTATATAAAGTGTTTCCTTTAATTTTACATTCCCTGAATTAGTTATTAATGACTGCCTGTGATTTATCTATGCATGGGAATGACTTCCAGCTTCAGAAACTGCTTTCTGAATTTCCACCAATGTCCCTGTGGTCAAATTACTTTCATCCTCATTAAAAGAGCTTCCCATTGTATTGATATCATGCTTGTGTAAATTGGAAGGAGTGGGTTCACATGACATAATACATGACTTTTCAACTGTGATATCAGTCTCCAAAGAAGAGTTTCCAGTTCAAAATTTTCTACTATTGGAGTGAGTTCATTTATATCTATTTCCTTTCCCCCCTCTTTTTTTGGCTTTGTGACAGGGTCTTACTGTGTAATTCAGGATAGCCTTGAACTCACTAGTAGCCTAGACTCGCCTTTAATTTATGCAAATCCTGGGAAAAACAATTTAAAGAAGGAAATATTTGTTTAGGTTCATGGTTTCAGAGGTTTCAGTCCATGGTTTGCTGGCTCCATTGCTGTGGGCCTGGGGTCAGGCAGCAAATCATGGTGCCAGGGTGTGGTGGAGCAAAGCTGTTCACCTCATGGCAGTCAGGAAGCAGAGAATGAGGGAAAAAGAGTCGCAGAGGAAGGGCTGGGGACAAGACACAGCTCCCAAGGTCACATCCCCATGACCTACTCCATTCAATTAGGCACCATTTCCTAAGCTTTTATCAGCCCATAATAGTGCTATTAAACTTTAAATCCATCAGTGGGTTAAATCACTGATAGAGACCTCATGATCCAACTACTTCCAAAAATCCCATGGCTAAGCACCTGAGCTTTTAGGGAAACATTTTAGACCCAAACCATAATACTTCTACAGCCATCAAGCATGTTAGCTCAAGGTGTACATCACAATGTCAATGGATCCATGTGTGCATGACAAGTCAAACATTTCTGAATGCTTTTTAATCTCTCAACGTTTTGTCTAAATTTATTTTTTATCAACACATCAAATTGCATATATTTAGGAGGGGGTACCATATAATGTTTAAATATATATGTAATTGTGTAATATTCAAATCAGAGCAAGTGATGAGAACTTTAATGGACTTCTTCTAGCTTTTAAAAAATATACAGTGCCGGGGCTGGGGATTTAGCTCAGCAGCACAGTGCCTGCCTGGCAAGTGCAAGGTTGTGAGTTCAATTCCTGGTACCGGGAAAAAAAAAT